CGAACCTTAATACTTTGTGTCACCTTGCATGCTTCAGATCGAAAAACTGATATAAAAACAAGTCTGATTATTTGAGATGGTTTTTCAGTAAGCAAAAGTCCACTTGAAGTATGAAAATCCATGTATACACCGTTTTCAAACTCAAAATTGAACAAGGGTGCATTTGGTAGATAGCGTTTCACATGGAAAATAAAATTGTGGAAAAAGTTGCGACCTCTATGAAAATTGAACATATGAAAGAAAGAGTGGGGATTAAGAGCTGCCAATATTGGCCGCTGTATTACTCGCAAAATTCTTATCGAAGTGTGGTGAGAAAAGACATGCTCGCCCTGTTACGCCTTTCGGCTGAAATTGGGCTCCCACGGACACCGGTAGTATATACAGAAAGGGAGAAGTAATAACCCTTTCAATGGTCTTCGGTTTTGATAGGAACTTCTCTCAACATATCTTTATGAACTAAGGAGGTTATAGATAACGACACTGAAGGCTTTCATCATTATATTTGTCTCCTTAGTTCGGCTCATCCAGTTATACCAACACCATATCCAGATTATCTGGGATTTGAGCCTGGATTATTTCGTCGTTGAGCGAAAGGTGGCCAAACGTTCTGCCACTGAACCATAGAGCCATCGATTTTTCGGGTGTTAACGTGGAAATATAACCTATGGCAATGGGCAGTCGTATGAGTACCGGTGCCTTGTCTTCGTGTGTATTACTAGTCATCATACGTGTGCCTGCGAGTGCCCCAAAGTAAGCTCGTAATCGCGAATGGGCAACTGGGAATTTGACAATGCTTGAGTTAACATCCGTTATCATGTCCATTTCACTAAAAAATCACGTGCAATGATATGTCGGATGACGTCTCCGATGTCACTTTTTAGATGTAGGCTTCCGTTTGTTCTCAACTACGATCCATATTTATATTTTGACAGTCATCATTTTCTCAGAACCGAGCAGCGTCCCTTAAAACCTCACCTGTATTATTATTCTTCCTCCTCTTCTACACTCTTTTTGCTATTTTTTCTTTCGCTGCGATATTATGTCATCGACTCTTTGAGGTCTCCTGTCATCCTACATCATTATTTATACTTGCCATCAGGGATGAAATTTGTCTGCTGCTCTACTTGTGTGGACAGGCGTGAACGGGCTGCGTTGATCTCAATATCAACTGACACAACGCCTGAAACTGTCGACCAGTCACAGGAGATGGAAGGGCGAGTAAGGCCGACTTTGAGCATATGCAGCGAGTGGAAGCGGCTGATGAGCGCTCGCGAAATTTATGGTGCCATTAAATCCTGCTACTTACGCTGTCTTCAAATATGACAGTTCAGTCGTCGAATCTGACGATGTTCAGCAGGAACTTCATCAAGCTGAACGCAACAGCGGTGAATTAGGTTTAAGTGATAGTAAACCAGTATCACATTTACAACACACGCTCTCCGTCCGTCATCGGAATCTGGTAACAGGACCAAGTCAAGAATGCCGAAGATGGGAAAATGCGCATGTACCTGACGCTGCCGTAACGGCCCCTTAATAATACCGTCATATAGGCTTCGAATCGGGGCTCACTTATCGGTCTGATGTGTCCCGTCATTTGGCAATCTTCCAAGCCACGGCTTTTAGTGCACCTTTCTAGCTTCAAGTGCATCAGATTATTGATAGCGATGAAAGTACGCTGAGCCGTTGATCTCACAGTTTATTCTAATTCCCAGTCCC